CCAAATTCTGGCGGAGTACCTCCCCCTCCCCCCGGGAATAATCTCCGTAGCTCACGATATTAGATCATGTGATAGCATAAATATTTTTGAGAAGAAACTAAAAACATTTATTTAAGGAAGCATAGTTGTAGTTATTGGAATTTTCTTTCATTTAGTATATATTTTAAGTGTAGATGCTAGTTTTCTTAGTTGTTAATAAATTTTATCTTTTGTATATTATTTTTGATGTTGTAAAGCACTTTGGAATAATGTAAAGGGTCAATAAGCGTCGGGGTTTGCTTTGACTGGTGCATTCTCATAGCTAGAGGATATAACTAGAACCTGTAAATATTATTTCATTAAATTAAGATTTGCGAAATTTACGATAGCAAGGACAGCCGGAGGTGAAAGTAACTTTACTTTAGGGTTTTGCTCCTTCAAAGCCTGCCTTCTCTCTCGATGAGTGGACTATACTGATGTCTTGAATGAAATCTCATAAACATTACAGGACCCCAAATAGGAATTATTCACACCCCCGTTTGACCTGGCCGTCGTGGATTTCGTAAACATCCCTAATATTGACTCACCTGTGGTGTTAGAAAGATGAATCTAACGCTAGAGTTATATAAGAAGATTCCAAATACGTGAGTTTAGTACTCAGTGACCTGTACATGTATGCAAACAGATATATGATATTGTCCACCATGACTGACCTTTTAAAATACCATCATTACCTATCATATATCATGTATCATATATCTATTAAGGCCGGTTTAGACGGTACGATTTTTGCCTACAACTATCGCATACRACACGCTCGCGTCTGTCTTAGGCGAGTTGTAGGCTTGATTTACACGCTAYGACTCGATTCGTAGGATTGCGCGAGCGTGTTGTATACGATAGTTGTAGGCGAAAATCGTACCGTCTAAACCGGCCTTTACATCATCATACGCGTGCATGTGTCGAGACATGAAAACTTCGAAAACTCACGAGATCGAAAATAGTGCGTGCGTAGATCAGGTATGCTCGTCGGAAATGTTAAAACGTATCCTAAAAGATACTAAAAGTCTTTTGGACAGAAATCTTAAGATACCAGAAATTGTAGAGAAAAACAAGAGAAAATCGAGGCTTAGAACCATCACGTGCCGAGTCCGTAATACAGCTTGGACTGCCTGTGGTTAGATGGTAGAACAATAAAACCCTTTGCTTTTAAGAGGACATTAAAAAAAATAACGAGCAATAATGAGCAAAAAGCGCCAAAAACTAGACCTTCGTATGAGTTTTGATCCCAATTTTCGTTTTGGGTTAACACTCAAAACCTTTAAACAGTTAGAAACTGATGTACTGCAGGATAAAATACTTGTTTGAAGCGGTATTTTCAATTGTACAAAGATGTTTTGTTGCATTTGTATTAGAATCTTGCTTTGTCAGGCTTTTTTATAGAAAATATATGGGAAATAAGCAAATGAAGGCCTAAACCTCATTTTCGAATAAATGTTTTGTTTTCGGTCATCTCCACTTCCAAACAAGTTAAACTTTCTGAATAACAAGATTTTAGTCTTTTGTAACAGCCTTTCTTCAAAAAAATAGTTTTTGGCGCTCACTTCTTAATACGAAAAGAATTATCTCTTAATGCGGTTAAATGATTGTATTGTTTCTGCCATCTAACATGGCTGCAGTCACGTGATGGTACAAAGCCAGGAAAATATTAATCTAACAACATAAGACTCTGATCGACACAAAGGCGTTGAAAAATCAACTTTATTTTTTAGTTAAAAGCAGTAAATACGTACCTTACGCACGCTTACAAATATTTTTCATCATATATTTCTATATTTTATATTTTTTTCTCAATTATTTAGCACACTATAGATGCTTCATTACAACGTTCAATTATTGTCAAAAATTATATAAAATAAACAATAAAGAATCGAAAAAATAACAAAACTTGTTAAATATTGTGAACAAATAACAAATGTATAGAAAAATTCCATCAATGATAGGTGGTGAAATGAATATATAAAACGAATTCAAACGTTATTTGGTTGATCTCGGGTTGCTCAATCAAAATATAAGCATTTAATAATAACAGTAAATATATCTCTAATGAGATCGATAATTAATACTAATAATATTATCCAAAGTTAAAAAGCTCATCTCACGCGAGACTTGGAGAGTAACAAAACAGTGCTTCAAATCTTACGGTTTTTTTCTCGAAAATTACATGGTTTTTTTCGCTTCCACTTCACCTTAAAATCTAAAAAATCTCAATTATTTATCAAAAATATTCATTTTTTTATAGCTGAAAAGCGTTAGAATATTTCTTAATTACTGAATATTCTAATAGTTCACCGTTTTTATTCCTTTCCAAGTCAATTAATAAGTTATTACAAGACTGACAAATGAAATCTTAAAAGACGATAAATATTATACTATTCAACTGCGCTCACAAACATATAAAACCATTCACTCAAAGAACTGTGTTATTCACACGCAAAGTTATCCATAAAACCCGAGTGCCATAATAAACTAAACAATACTATGTGTAGAGGGGTGGGGGAATACAACAAACTCCTTCCTCCCCTCCCCCCGAGCTAAACTTCAAAATGAGCTATGAAAACTTAGAAAGGAAATATGAAATTAAAAGAAATTGTCAAATAATTTTACAAAAAGGAAAAAAGCTAACGATGTTTATTTTCTGTTTTGATCATAAATATTTTAAAAACTAGCTATCTGGTTGATAGGTCTGAATATCTGCATTTCAAAAAGTTCCTGGGCAAGAATTAAAGGAATATGTACATCTCATGCAAAAACACAAGACCAGCTCTGTTAGCTCGATCCGGCTCTATTCACGGCACTGCTGCTAGGTGCTCGGCCGGTCAAATTCATATCATTTTAAGTTGAAAAAGTCGTGTTTTTCGGCCAAAAAAAAGTTAACAAGCGAGAATAATAAAGTAATGGAACAATCCCACATCTAAGACTTATTCTGTTATTCTGAAAAGTTCCAAATGTATGAAAATAATGCACTTAGACCTGGGTCACGTGTACGCACGTCACGTGTAGGTCACGTGCATGTCACATGTAGATCACGTTCATGTCAAGTGCATGTCAAGTGTAGGTCACACGTAAATCACGTGCATGTAACGTGTAGATTACATGCATGTCACGTGTAGGTCACGTGCAAAGCACTCATAAGGACGAAGCCTCAAATGCATATTAAGTTAACCGTAAGAGCTGGGAAAATATCTCAAAAATCTCAAAGGAAAACCCCGTCATGATCAATAAACATGGCTTGAAAACACTTGAAAACAAAACTATTTACAAACACACCACATCACCATCACAACAGGTCGCTATGGCAACGCAAAGAGAACTAACCATCTCCTAGCAACAAGGTATAAGAGGTCGACCTTAATTTTTACCATACATGATACGTTACCATTAACAAAACCTGTAAACATCTCTTGAATATCAGTCAACCAAAGACTTGTACCTGTCTTGAGTCTACATGGGAGAGCCTGCAGACTTGCTGGTGCGTGTCAGTGGTCGGTGGTCACGGTAACCCTCGATTGAATGATGCCACATCCAACAGGAATGACAGTAGTACTTGAAGCACGATTCCTCACGGCAGAAGAATGGGCCTTGGGTAGCATGACATGTCTCACATAGAGAGTCTTCCAAGTAAGGGTCTACTTGTACCTAACAGAGCAAGATATTACAGACATTTAGCAGGACATTTCGATGTCAGGCGTTTTCAGTCAAACGTTCGACATCATAGTAGGGACCTTAAGCTGCAGGACAGCAACGACGACGACGACGGCAAGCATACGATAGCACTAATTGTGCTATTCAATAGATACTCGTTGGAATGTACGAAATACTATGCATCATTGCCGTCTTATGCTGAAAGTAAGACGTGAAATGTCCTATTTTTACGTACTAAAGAGAACGGCTACGCCAAAAGCTTATCTTTGCTGATTTTGGTTATAATCAAAGCGCTCCCAAAACACGTCATTTCACTCTAAAACGGGGATGCTTATTGAGTAAAATACTAGGTAAACACAAAATAATAATACAATAGAAGGTTGAAGCGCCTCAATTTCGCCGACGTTGTCGTCCTGCAGCTTAAGGTCCCTAGTAGGGCGTCATAACGAAGATGTTGCTTGATTTGATGCCTTATTGAATTTCATTGATGCTGATTGTTTCTCCGTACGCGTGCTTGATTTGTGCACGTGTTTCTGGGCCTGATACCTAACAGTATCTAACATGGAAATCCCCATATCAAACATGTGACATGCGAAATTTAAACTTTTGTATTAACATTCAAAAAATWTTTTTTTTGCAAGGAATGGCTCCAAATAATCTTGTTAACTACAGAATATATTTCAAGGATGGCGTCTAGTTGGTCGTGGACCAACATCTAATGGCTAAAAATGTGGGCCCTCGTTATTTGATTGTGCAGGCAGTTTCATAGTCCTTTTTGGAGTTCGATAAACAGGATGCATTGTGGTCTATCTTGGGTACTAACAACACTATATAAGGCATGATGAACAAAAGATGTTTGTAATGTAGTCCGATCCTGTACGGACAGAATAAGTACTTATATGGTAATTATTGCAAGCTGTTACGATACCTTTTTTGTGAACTTAGGTGTCTCTATCTCGATAAAACCAGCCCGTACAGCCTGCATGAAGCTCTTGTGGTTGTCAAATGTCACGCGACCAGATCCTGTAAACATAGTAACAAAACAGAGAATTAACACAGAAACAATACACCGATGCCGCATTCATTGTTCTATCTTCCTAGTGACTGTTGCTAGGCGATCAGATC